CTTTGCGATACACTTAATTTCAACAGTCGCGCTATAACAAACGCTTTATTTTCAAAGGAACGTCTCACGTGCTCAACAATATTCTCTCTCTGCAGTTCAATCACCTCACCACTGTCCCATCACGTTGTGACCGTCTTATATATACAAGACTAACACATATCTAGTAAACGCTAGAGCATTCATGAAGGAACATGATATTTCTAGAAGGACGTGGCGTGATACTAGTCACGTGACCTCGCTGACGCAACAGTATTTTATATATTAAATATTGTGCCTAAAACACAGCATCATGTAGGTTGAACTTCGTAACACTTAAGGTGTAATAATTACTTACATAAAGCATTAACATATATGTTTGAAACGTGAAAAAGAACCAGACATTTATTATTTGGATCAATTTTTTAAAGTTGTCTGATTGACTATAATTATATTTATATATTCCTGTTTTTTTAGGGCTCTTTGGCTTCGTCTGCAAGGAAGTCCTGGTTCTAAAATAGTGCGTTGTGACTTCAAAAACTGGCTGATCGTCGACACCTACGACTTCCGGAATTTCAGCGTTCGTTTTTGACAACACATTTCACCCTTGTGTGAGAAACCAATAGTTTCTGCCCTTAAAGAACACATGATAAATCCTAAATGCGTGAAATATGCTAGTCAGTAGTGTATAAATTCCTGCAATTTAAACTATTAATTTTAACATATATAATGGCAAAGCTAGTGAAAGTTAACTATATTACATCAAGATACGATTTTCATTAAGAAGAAATATTTAAAGACAAATCGATCATACAAGTAAATCACTGTCCTTTCTGGTACTACTTTATGCCGTATTGATACGTCTATTTTCTTGTATACTACAAAGTTTCTCTCAAATCGTTAGCTAATCGCAATATTAAAGGAGAGTCACGCGCAAGAATTCGAATATTAAGGTTCGGGTCAATGAATTCAGGTTACTACTGTTTATCCTAGAGTTTACAATTACTCAATTATCAGGAATTGATAAAATTAGCTTACTAAAATTACATATAAAAGTAAGATTAATTATTTAAATTTCCTACAATAAATCTAATTAAAAACTCAGAAAGTAATAGAATTTTAGCTGTGTAAACAAAACTAAAGACGAATCAACATATATCGAAAAAAACACCTGTGATCCATGGTAGTTTTGATAAGTTATATGCCAAAACAAGTAAAATAAAATGCAATTTTTATCAAGTATTAGTTTAAATTTTGTGATCAAATATTATATTTCATTTTGTTTAGAGATCTGTTTTGAAGTAGCTACAAAAGTATAGGTGGTCGGAGTGCAAGGATGGCAAAAAGACAAACACGTTTTCAAATGTCCCTTTCTTTAAGTCATTTGTATATTGTAAGAAATAACTGCTTATTGAATTGCAATAATAAAGTTTATCGCGGTTCCAAACAGCTGTCTCACCCTTTGGTTTAGTAGTTTTACCCTAAAAGAAGAATTATATGTCATGAAATTAAATTAGTAATTAAGAAAGTAAGATCTTTTATAAGCAAACATAACTTAATATAAATTATTAGATGGAAAATGAAAGAAAAGCTAAGCTAAGATAATTTTCTAGAGGTCTTCTGTAAGGAAATTTAACTTAAAGTCACAAAATACTGAAGGATCTTTTTAAAGAAACATTAATCTTAGTTGACAGACTGAAAGGGTTTTGTAAGAAGAAATAATCTGAGAGCAGGTGCTGGAAGATATTAGAAAAAAAAACAACAACATTCATCTGAATCCATATGCTGGAAGGAACATTGACATGCTATAACATGTCAAAAGATGTCTAGAAATTCCGTTTACGTGAAAATGAATATGGGAAAAACTACTGACATGAATTTATATGTTAGTGAATATTCGGATGAGTTGGTTGATCTGGATTTATCTAGTGTAAAACTTTAAGAAGTTGCACTGTTTTAAACTGTTACATTAAAAGACTTCTGGAAGGTGCATTGAGTATACG